TTTAAATTTAATCCAATACATGGCTGGCTATGGACACATTTCAGTCGGCGCCAAAAATGTATAATTTGACACCCAGCCCTAATTTTACCAGTTAAAATTCTAACACTAGTTTTAAACGATAAATAAGAGTACAATATGAGATGATTTAAATCACTATTATTTATTTTATTGGGGAAATGTGTACAATAGTTGCATGAATTTAAATGAGTAGTTACCTTAAAGCAGGGGAGGGCAGCCTGCGGCTCCTTAGCTGCATGCAGCACTTCAACTCCTCTCCAGTGGCTCCCTGTGGCTTTCACAGAATATCATATGGAAATGAATAACTGGAACACGTGTCAAGTTCTCTTCTTTCAAGATACACTTCCATTTTAACAGGAAGTTTAATGTTTACAGTCTCTTTCAAAATAAACGCACTACATCGGTACAATACCACAAATTGACGTTTTTCTTCCTTCAACAACAAACGCACGTGGTTAGCTTTAGGAAAAAGAACAGGGTTTGACTTTAGAATGTTACGGGACACAAACACCACTCTCTTGGGTGAAAGTCAGTGAGTGTTGGACCCGCCCATGCCAATCAGACTTTGACCACCTTAACTTTCGTCCTTGTCCCGCTGCATTTCCCCCTGATACCGCTGGGGGATGTTAAACTTTAACGGTAACTGGCTGCGGATCATGCTGAAGCTAAAGGACGCCTTTTTTCATTGCTTTCTGACGCCGCAAGTCAATGCCCAAGAGCCAGATTTCGACGACCTCGGAGTGAGACCAGGCTCGGGAAACAAGGACTTGTGCAAAACAACGTGTATCTGGGCGAACTGCAGGAGCCTCTTGTACATGAATCACTAAAATAAAGTAGAATCTTCCCTGAACTCAGATTTGATTAACTGACACAATACATTTTGGGCTGAAATGATTAAACTGTCTTGAAAGCATTGCTCCTATTTTTATAATGTGAACACAAAACAGAAAAAATCTCTGCAGAGTCTGTTTTTGTGTCCCAAGGTCATACCCACCAGACTGGACCGTCCGCCGTGGGAAAGCCCTTTTATGGAGTGTTTGTAATGCGAACACCCTCAGTGACCTCAGGCTTTATCCAGATGTTCCCCATGTAAACATCTCTAAATACAGACTGAGACTGCGGAGTCATGTCGTTCAGCACACCTACATATATTATTTGTGTGTGCAATCTGCACATACACACATCGTAGGAGCACCAGATGTTATTGATGGCTCTCACCTTTGCCTTTGGTTTGCTTTGGAGGCCTTGTGCGTGACCTCTGCCCTCTGTTTGCCCTGGAGGGTCAATATTCCCTGTTTGACTTGACACAGTTCCCAAAACACATCGTCTGTTAGATATTCTCAGTCTCTTTCAAGGCCTCCACCTTGATGAACTCTCACTCTTGGGTTGTGGTTTCATTACAAACAGTATCTCTTTTCAGAAAATACACACTCATTATCCAATACTTAACATTTGTAGCCTGCAACATTTTGGCAGCAGAAATATTAATTCATTAAACATTTTCCACAAAATAATGAATGATACTTCAGTACATTCCCAGACCGCACTTTTAGAATAACAAGGTCATACAAATCAATTTCAGCTCAAAACAGTCAGGCGCAATGAATGTTTCTGGTGCAACGTGTTTTTGAGAAGCTTAAGGAGATCAAAATGTGTGGGCATGACTGTAGCAATCCAGCAAAGACTTTGTCCTTAGCTGCCTTTTTGAAAATTATGAGAATGGAATATTTAAACTAACCACGTTTTTATTGCCACTTGCCACTGAAATAATGCCATGCCATTTATGTTAGATTTTTATGTGATTATTTCCATTTTAACTGCATTCCTGCTCTGGCTGGTTGCGCTGGTTTGCATGACTAATCTTCTGAGGTCTTGAAGTCCTCTTTATAATCATGCTAAGGATCATTACGGGTGCATTTTGTCTTCCAGATGAAAAAAAATCATAAAGTCTTTACTGTGGATTTTACATTTAATGAATATGGGTACTGGTGTGTGTTTTGATGTTTAGCTACTCAGTTGTTTTAGCAGCTAATTTTCTGCCATGGCATTACCAAAGAAGTGTTTTTCTTAGAGGTATACCAGGTGGTATTTACCCTAAAATAAATAAAGTTGTAGACTCATAGAAAAATGAATCTCTCGCAGTCATCACTTATGACCCCCCAGAAGTGTGTGGTGGTGTATTTTTCTGCAGAGACTTTGTCATCTGCCTGTATTCTCTTATTTTCTTGGCAAAACATCAAGCAGACAAAGCTTTTTCCAAAATGAGAGTGAATCTGGGGTTGGCCTTCACTTTCACTTTCACTGGCGATACTGTTGACAAACAGAAACTGACAATTTCTACACACAGTAATACACCTTTTAAAGTGATAAATATGACACAGAATGTGTCACGATAGGCTCAGGATGCCTCCTGGGCGCCTTCATTTAGAGGTCTTCCGGCACGTCCCACTGGTAGGAGGCCCCGGGGCAGACCCAGAACACGCTGGAGGGATTACATATCTAGTCTGGCCTGGGAACGCCTCAGGATCCCCCAGGAGGTGCATTGCTGGGGAGAGGGGCATCTGGAATACTTTGCTCTGCGTGCTGCCCCCTGACCCGGCTTTGGATAAGTGGTTGAAAATGGATGGATGGATTCACAGATGCACTTAAAGCAGTATTTTTTTTGGCCACTTGGGGAGAAGAGGAACAAGCTACAAACATGCTGATGTCAACCTCCTGAGGGCCGTTTCATATGTTTGACGCAAAGGCACGCAGACGCGAATGCATTGGGACGCATCGAGACGCATTGGCCGCCATGATGCACACTTAGGTCTCAAAATGTGTTGTCCATTTTTTTGATTTGCGACGCAGCAACGTGTGTAATACCATGCGTTCCCAGCGGGGGTGATAATGCAAGCGACGTACTTGAAATTAACCACTTTTTGTTATTCACAGCAGAAGCAGGAATGAAATGTCGGGGGCGAGGAGGAAAAACTTTGCGAACTCGTACGGGCACACCCACATTTATATGACAATTCTAATGCCCTGCACTCTAATAAAATAGCAGTACTAGCTAGCCGAATGTACCGGTGACTCTGCTATCCCCTATTGCGCGAGCAGTGTATTGCATTTCAAGTGTCGCCTGCGTTGCTTGTGTTCATTGTGTTGACTATGAAAGGAAGTGCTTCGCTTGCTCGCGTTGACTATGAAACGGCCCTTAGACTTTGGATGGTGAAGAATTTTAAAAGCTTAATCATGACAAAACAGAGATCTTGTTAGTTGGACCAAAGGCTTTGAGGAAAGAAATTCAATCTTTGTTAACTCCCGTCTGTAAAACCATGTGAACATGTCAAAAACTTGGATGTGATTTTAGACACTGATCTTAACTTCCAGAAGCACATTTCTAATATTTCTGAGACTTATCACCTCAGAAATATATCAAAAGTTAGACTCTCCTTGTCTCAGTCAGACTCTGAAAAGCTGGTTCACGCTTTTATTTCCAGCAGGCCAGAGATTTAACAAAACTAAAAGGTCTGACCACATAACTCATATTTATATTCCTACTGATTCCAAATAGCTATGAGAAATTAAAGATGCATACCAAAGTCACAGTATGGTATGTCCCTATTTGACTATGGATTCATCACCTTCCTTAAATCATACCATCTCTACGGGTTGTAATTGCCAAAGACTTTTCACATTTTTCATTCTTTCATGTTAATAAATATTCTTTTCACCATAAAAAAGTGTCTCTCCTGATTGAAATATATGGATTGAAACACCTTTTGTCTCAAAAGTACTGCTCTGTCTGTGCAGGTATTACTTGCCTGTTGGCTGGTGGAGGGGTGATGGTGATAGGGAGGGAGGAGGGCGGTGGTACAAATACTCAATGTGAACTATGAAAATGTTGTATTGGCTATTTATGGCTAGTTATGTTGCAATAAAAATGTGTGATTAAAGAAATGCATACCGAACAAACATTCAGGTCTCAGGAGGATGTAGGTAGGTAGGTAGGTAGGTAGGTGGATAGATAGATGGATGGATAGATGGGTAGATGGATAGATGAATAGATAGGTAGGTAGGTAGATAGGTGGATGGATGGATGAGTAGATGGGTAGAAGGATAGATGGATGGATGGATGGATGGATGGATGGATGGGTAGGTAGATGGATAGATGGGTAGGTAGACAGGTAGATAGGTGGATAGATAGATGGATAGATGGATAGATGGGTAGATGGTTAGATTGATATATAGGTAGATGGGTAGATGGATAGGTAGAAGGATAGATGGATGGATAGATGGATGGATAGATAGATGATAGGTAGGTATGTAGGTGGATAGATGGGTAGATGGATAGATAGGTAGAAGGATAGATGGATAGATAGGTAGAAGGATAGATGGATAGATAGGTGGATAGGTAGGTAGGTAGGTGGACAGGTGGATAGATAGGTAGGTGGATAGATAGGTAGGTGGATAGATGGATAGATGGATAGGTAGGTAGGCAGGTAGGTAGGTAGATAGTACTTTATTGATCCCAAACTGGGAAATTCTTGTGTTACAGCAGCAAGTAATCAAACAGTATTTGGACATTAGAATATGGAAATATAAAATATATACAAAAATGAGTAATACTAAAATTTAAAATATACAAGTAATATACAGGAATAAAATAAAAAATATCAAATTGCAGGAGTAAAAAGATCAAACTACAACACAGTCAGAAGTGAGGTAGAGGTTGTAAGGAATGTGCAAAATAGCTACAAGTGTGCAATATAAATATAACTTATTATTTTTATTATTATTTTGAGTTTGCAAAATACCATTTTCTTGTGCTCAAAATCTCGCTGAGGATTGAGGCACCAATATCCCTCCATACAAACCACCCTTTCACACTGTTCGTCGCCTCGTTTCCCTGGAGCACCTGAACGCCTCACTGTGAGCCAGGCAGCCACAGCGCAGGTACCTCCACCTGCTGGCCGCTGTGTGAACTACAGCCAGGCGGAGCAACACATCCTTCATCTCCGACCAGTCCAGATTGAAGGAGGACAGAGAGGCAAGCCGTGAAAGCGAACAGATGTGAACCGGACTACGAAAAGAGCACAAGCTGTAGTTTCAAGACGGAGAACATTTCCCTTCTGCTAATATGTGGCAACCCGCGTCGGAGCGACTGCAGGTAAGACCCGGGTGTGTGTGTGTGTGTGTGTGTGTGTGTGTGTGTGTGTGTGTGTGTGTGCGCGCGCGCGCGTGTATATGTGTGTGCGTGTGTGTGTGTGAGTGAGAGAGAAACGCTTCTTGTCGACAGGGCAGCGGTAAATAAAACGGTTCAGCCGTGTTAACAGTCACTGAGACCCGCCGTGTTGTGCATGGCTCCAGCCTGGACACACTTGGTACGGTTTCTGAGTAGCTGCAGATGTTTTCCGAGCTCCGGCTTTCCCTTTTGTGTTGTTAGTCGTCTTTTAAGTGTAAGAAACCAGCTCAGAGTCATTTTTTCTTCGCCTATCTGTGTATGTGATACGTTTCAACGCACCTATTCACGTTACGCAAGCCGCCGGGGGTACAGTGCAACAATTTCTGCCTCCGCTGCATTCCTGTGCCAATCCACCTCTGGAGATTGTCTGTAAATATCACTCAAAGGCATATTCATGTAGTGTTTAAACGCCTCTTTGGCCCACAGGCCTGTCTGAGCCAACTGTACCTTCACACTAACCCACAGAGTGTAACTGCAGGCCTCCTGCTCCTGTTGTTATTTTTCCTTCACATCAGGATGCGTAATCTTTCTGTCTTCCTCTGCATTCCCGTGTGAAATCTCTGTGGTCTGTAACCTGCCGCCTGCGACCTGTTAAGAAATAGGGCAAAAAAAAAGCAGCGTTAATGACACGTAGTTTGATATCCAGGGGCAAGCCGTGCACCGAGCCTGGCTTCACGTCTCCTGCAGACGTAATGCTCTCCAGATGTCGGCCTGCACACTGCCTGCCAAGTGAACTTGCACAATCCCTTCCTCTGCCCAGGCGTCAAGAAGATGGGATCACGAATTATTTAAAGCGAGAGTTCCGGTGTTACAGGCCTGCATCTGCATGACCCCCCTACTCCTCAATTAACATCCAATAATGTGGCCTGCTATCACACACTGGACACCAGTCTGTCTAATATATATGAGCTGTTAGTGACTGTTGAGCACAGTGACTGTCATTGTTAGGCTCAACAAGTGTCATCCAGTCACCGTGCATCTCACATTTTCCGTAGCCCGTCGTTGCTTAAGTAAATTTGGGAAGTGCATGTAAGTCAGTGAATCATTCCACTCACTGCACCCTGCCAGCTAACTACACTAAAAGACAAACAGCCCCATGAACAGTCATGTGGCTGCAAGGTTCAGATGTTTTAAGGTGAAGTCAGGGGCGTAAATATAGACAGTGCAATTGCACAGGGGCCCCTGGGGTGCATATACGATTAATTTCATTTTTGTCAGATATACAGCAGTGATTTCTGGGTAATACGTATTTTGATGTCATCCAATTTCAAGTGTCTATAGTCCTGTTTTTTTTTCTGTTTCCACTGTGAAAAGTTGGGGATGGTACCAATGGAACCGTTCCGTACCGTCCCCATTTTCGGTCCCCCCTCTGTTGGGGTACCTAGCACACAGATCTGGTACTAAAAAGTGGAGCTGTGAACACTGCAGTTTGTTGATTGGTCGATAGAGGACGGTCACTCTGCTCAGGGCTGAGTTGTGGCTGGTTTTGAGGCTCATGTAACCACTGTTCATACTGTGGAGAGTTTCATTAGTAAACTGTGACTATAAAATAAAGGATGTTTTGCTGCCGCTCACAGCAGCTGGAGTTGGAGAAAAAAATAACTTAATCACCGGCCAACTGCCGGCGACTTTTAAGGTGGAATGTTAACTTGTAATGTTACTCAATGTGTGAGCTGACAACATGAATCCATCAGCACACCTTACAACTTTGACCGTCACTTTAGTTTTTATATGACGGACACTTTTAATAATGAGCGGATCTTCAAGTGTTTAATTTCAACCAGATTATGTAAACTGTGTATATTCTAATCCTCACTCGGAGAAAAAAAAGTGTTGCGGAGCATCGTTCCTGTGGGATCCGGCAACACTAAACCCATGAGCTTGCCTGAGAAGGACTAAATACAGAAAAACCCACCATTTTTAAATATCCCATGGAGAGAGACTCTCACTGCTGCCTGTTTTATTTGTTCTGAAAATGTCGGCGTGCAGCCTCGTTCTGTGGACGACAAAGTGCACACTGTTAAAGGAGGAAATACAGTGAGTGCTGGATGGAGCAATTAAGAGTACTGTTTGTGGTGGAAACCCTAGGGTCTAGGTACCATGTCTGAAGGTTTATTTTTGGTTCCAAAGGTACTATACCAAAAGTGTTTGGTGGAAATATGGCTTATTTGTGTCAGAACAATACATGCACGATAGCGTGCACTAGGGCCCGTTGTAACTTCTTTACACCACTGGGTGAAGTTATTTTATTTTACCATCACTGCGGCTGATACTTTTGTCAAAGTGGAAATTGTTGGTAATTTTTTCAAAGGTCCATCTCAAACTATGTGCTGAACAGTATTAGTATGTCCTTATCTCATAAATTCACTGTATAGTAAGGGTGGAGGAAAAAATCGACACAGCATAGTATCACAATATTTTTGTGTGGCAATATTGTATCGTCACACAGTGCCAAGTATTGATTTTTTCATTATATAATACTAGTAATAATACAAATTGAACTTTTGGTAGACTACTAGAATAATATAATCAGTTGTTCTTTCAGTCCACTAGATACGTTATGCTGCAAAAAAAATGGCTGCAGTGAGATGAACAGACTGAAAACTTCATCTTATTAGATAAAACAGATGTTGCCTACGTTTTCCTTTTGGGACACAATTTACAGTTGAAAAAGGCAATGAATTGCAGTGTGTATATAAAGATTGTTTTTTGGGCGTTTTTGCCTTTGGTCGATACAGTAGGACAGTTAAGCTGCGTGAAAGAGGAAGAGAGAGAGGGAGTGACACGCAGCAAAGGGCTGTAGGCTGGAATTGAACCCAGGCCGCTGCGGCAAGGATGAAGCCTTTGTGCCTGCCTGCTCTATCCACTAAGCCACCAGTGGTGGCTGGTCTGTTCCTTCTGGGCTGCTGTAGAAACATGGCGGTGCAACATGACAATCTCCGTAGACGTTGATCCGCTCCCTGTGTAGATATTAACAGCTCATTCTAAGGTAACAAAAGCACAGTAATTCTTATTTTCACGCGATTATACACCAAAGAAAACATACTTATTATATTATATTCCATTCTGCCAATATGTCCTCCTAAATCCTACACACTGGACCTTTAAGGGAAATTTCTAAAGTCTGGGAAATTAACATCATGGTTCTCAGCTTGGTCTTAGAGACTATTAAGAAAAGCCTGCTTTGAAAACTGAAGGAATTAAGTTTGAAAGACATGGGCATTTATGTTGAGTTCATGAGTTCATAGTTGTATTGTGGGTAATGTAGGATTCAGATATATGAAAGTGCAATGCTTGGGTTTGTGTCCCTAAAATAATCGTGTTTCTAATAACTGCCACTTGGCTCACACCAGCGTACCGCCTGGAGTCCAGCTGCGGCCCAGAGTTGATAAAGAGTTTAAGATGTTTCTATTGTCGACTTCAAAACTATGAAACACTGGACTGTATGGCAGTGCTTAACTTAATGGATGACTTCTGAGGTGAATTTAGATCAACAGCGTCTGCCCGGCTGCTCTGTTCTCGGGGTAAACAGCAGAAACGTTTATGAATTACTCATGGTCTGCCTGGATCTCTTCGATCAGTAAATTAAAGGTTAAAGTTCAAAATAACAGTTTAAGGATGAAAAAATGTTAAGGTGAAAAGTGGTAGTACAATGATAGCAATACCTGCACATTGCCTGCTTTGTAACCGTGGCAACGACCGTCCTTTAGACTGCTTCACCTCTCTGGAGCTGGGAACGGTGGGGTTTTCCAGAGCTGAAGATGTCAGGTAGCTGATCTGGAATGCACCAGCATTTATCATCTCCTGTTTTGTTGTTTACATTCACTATGGCATCCGTCCATATTATTCTCACTTGTGCTGTTCTCTGTTGCCATAGCAACACCTGATGTCTTGTTGCATTTTTGTCTCATAGAAGAGGGGGGGGGGGGGGGGGNAAGAGATAAAAGGAAGTGTGGGGGTGAGGAGTTATAGGTCGTGGCGTGAGTTAAGCATCACCAATCACGTTTATGTCGACAATGAGAAGTGTTTTGGAGCCAAAGTGTGTGTGTTGCGATGCTGTGTGTCTTTGCTGCATCATGTTTTCTGTCCGTCTTCCTCTCTGTGTCCATTTCGCCATCCCTCCTACCTCTCGCTGACCACATGCCTCAGTTTCAGGGCCCCTTCCTCCCAAAGCAGAGGCCATGTTAGTTCAACAACAGATTGTGCAATACGCCATGGTCTGGACACAAACACTCACACACGTACACACTTTCATACAAGTTGGCAGGCGGGTTAGGCATGCACACACACACAAAACATGCTTCCTTTTTGAGTATTCCAAGGGCTACCAAACATGTTTTTTCTCTGTGTCAGCAGCTCTTTCTTTAGCCATGGTTTCCACTTTTGACACTTTAATGTGTGTGACTCTGACAAACAGGGCTGAGCACATAAAAAAAGATGTGGACTTGACAGCGCAGTAATAGCTGACTGAGGTCAAGCACGGTGGGAACCAGCCACTGTCTGTGCATCTTTACTTGTTACTGCTGCCACCTCCGCCTGCCTTTATTTGTTTCTGTCCCTCAGTCTGTCTGTCTGTCTCTTTGTCTGTCTGAGGTTGCTGTGTGGCCACAGCTATGTTGTTGAGACTGTGGCCTTGGTGGCAAAAAGAATCCACAAGCAGACGGGCACAAAATTCCCATGGTCCCTTCGACACGTTGCTTCTTCTTCTTCTTCTTTTTTTTGTCAGCAGCAGACATTTGCCTCTTGTGAAGAAATGGCTTTTGGCTCACTAGTTTGGCTCTTCATATTTGATGAATGGGCATAATCTCCTGTTGGCGGAAGTTATAATTTTTCAAAGTTTTCCACGGATTTGCATTTGACAGAGTCTTATCCTCACCACTGGTCAAAACTGAACTGTCTCAGCTGTGTAATTTTTTTTTTTTTTT